TTTAGGTTGTTAAGAGAGGAACGTTAGGTGAAACCCAACTGGTTTGCTTGGTCAGTTACTCGGCTGAAATTTTTTTGTACAGTATTGTATTTTGTTAACCACTCTGGAGTATATGTAAGCCACCATCGTAGTATAACACGTTAACTGTTTTAGTTTTGAAGTTCATATCTTTTTTTTAAGCTCTGGCCTAACGTTATCCAGATGCTGATGGAGAATGTGACAAACGGTTCAGCCTCAGAGTCTTTGAAAGAATCTAGTTTGGAGGTTTTTTACTCTGATATGTGAAGACCTTTAAGTCTCAGATTCATATTTCAGATTAACATCAGATACTTTTTGCTTTTTAGGCTCTAGGTTACATATGCCAAGACATAAATGCTACAACGCTAGAAAGCCAGGCATGTATGATTTTGACTGCAATTGTTAAAGGCTTGGGTAAGGACGAACCGTCGAATAATGTTCGTTTGGCTGCTGCTAATGCGATGTTGAACTCTTTAGAATTTACAAAGAGCAATTTTAGTGTTGAGGTTTTGTTTTTACTGTAAATATTCTTAAGGTTCTTCCTGCTAAACAAACCTTGAAAATCGCCTTTTTAAATAGAACTTAAATGTTGTTCTCTTATAGACTTGAAATGAGTGTTCTGATAGCACTCTATTCTTAACGGTAAAATATGTTTTTTTTTTTTTTTTACTTTAAAAACGTAAAATGCTTTTTCAAGAGTGAGAGACACTTGTTAATGCAAGTCATATGCGAAGCGTCTCAGTGTACACATATTCCCGTTCGAGTAGTAGCAATGCAGTGTCTTGTTAGGATAATGTCTCTGTATTATCAGTTTATGGAGCAGTATATGGGGTTAGCCCTTTTTTCGGTAGGACATTTGCATCTTTTAAATTATTTGTATTTATCTGTGATTCTACCCTTTGTCAAAACGCGATTGGTTCTTTTAATTAACTTCTTTATTTAATTTTTTTGGATATCCAGAATCTGATAGTTTTCTAGTCCGGTAAGTGTAGGCTCGGAAATGAATAGTGGTACATCGTTGTTTTAAAGATAACATTGAACGCTATGAAAATGGAAATTGATGAGGTTGCTCTGCAAGGTATTGAATTTTGGTCAAATGTTTGTGAGGAAGAGATCGCATTGGCTGTAGAAGCAGAAGAGGCTCAGGAGCAAGGTCGGACCCCGGAGAATATTTCAAGGCATTATGCTAAAGGTTGGAATATGAAATTCTGCAGGTTTCACTTTTATTTATTTTACTGTTAATCAGTAATTTGAACGTGAATTGATCTTGAAATTTTATTTTGGTTTTTTAATATTGCAGGATTTGGTTTTTTACAGGAGCTTTAGCATATCTTGTCCCTATCCTTACTGAAACTCTAGCCCGTCAAGAAGAAACTGATGACGATGATGACTGGAACCCTGCAAAAGCTGCAGGAGTATGCATAATGCTTCTCGCTCAGTGTACTGGTGATTCAATAGTTGCTACAATTCTTCCATTTATTCAAGAGCATTTTAAGAACCCCAACTGGAGGTACATGGCTGTTTTAAGCGCTGTTTTACAAAAGTGTCTGGACGAAGTTTACTTTGTTTTTTTTTTTTATTTAGATATCGCGAAGCAGCGATAATGGCTTTTGGTTCGATCTTGGATGGCCCTGATCAGAAAGTACTCACTCAGTTGGTAGAGTCGGCTATAGGAAGCCTTATTGAAGCGCTTAGCGACACTCAGGTTGATTTCTAAGTTCCTAGTTTACTTTTACGGCGGACCCTAATTCTCTTTCCATCGTTGTTAAAATGTAGCGTTCAGATTTTTGTTCCCTGTCTCTTTTAGGCTTTTTTTAACCTCTCTAACTTTAAATTTTTTTGATAAGTAACATTTATGGTGATCTGGGTTTGCTTCCGTCCTTGTTTTCTCTATATCCTGGGCTACCTGAGAAATCACCAAAGTTATTCCTATTCTGAAACTGGGACTTCTTAAATGAAATTTGCTTCAAATTAAGAATTTTCTACTGTAACCTCTTATCTCGTATAGGAATTCTAAAGATTTTCAAAATTTTAACTGCTAAGCTTTGTTGTACTCCTTATAATTTGGAAAACAGGAACAAATCCTTTGTGATAGAATAAGTTGGACCTTTTTCAAAGCAGAATTCAGACTTAGCACAGTCACGAAAGTGGTTTCTTGGAAGAAATAATTTGAATTTGTAACAATATTAGTCTTTCAAGAACTTAGGAAGAGAGTTTCAAAGGTTGTAGGCCAAAACAGTTGCGACTAAATTTGGTAGGAAGCTCTGCAGTTCAATTTCTAAAAAGAGTTTTTTGGTCTAGCATTTGGCCGAAGAGAATATATATATATA